CAGGACAATGGACAAGAAAGTAATAAATGACTTACTTTGAAATCAATTCAAGTGGATTCAGCGTCTGGAAAGTGAGAATTTGTTTTTCTCTTTCATGTCAATTTAAATGGGGAAACTAGGGTTTATCATGAGATAAGCAATTGAAACGTGTATTTATCAGTCCTACGTTTTGTCAGATTACACACCCAGTTATTAACGAGTAAAGAAATGTATTGTTGGCTGCACACTGCACAGGAAGCCAGTTACAGCTGATATCCTCAAGTCTCCCGAAGACATTTAAGCACAAATTTGGCTCAGATATTTTTTCTTTTGTTGTGAGTCACGATTCAAGACTATTAAAAAACCATTACATTGTTGTTTTCTGTAAAGTGGGATTAGGATTTATTTCTGTAAAATGCTTGTTTCTTTAGTTGTGCAAGATAAGAGCATATCTAATCTTTGAGGCGATAAGGCACGTTTGCTTTGAACACTGGACTGAGTTCCTCAGTTTTCTGTTGCACCGTTAAAAGCAGAAAACCTGAGAGCCTGCAGCGTTTCACATGCTGGTCAGATGATTTAAATGTTCAGAGGAGGCACAGAGCTTTATTTTAGAGATTTGTGATAATGACTGGATATCACCAGTGAGGATATTAAATTATGTCAATGAGGAATCTGGGAATTCCTGAGTATAAAACATTTCAACACATTATCCTCTACTGAAACAACAGTGACACTATTTTAACTTATTTGACAAACAACAAGGTCTAACATTGATCACACTATTTTGGTCTGAATGTCTCAGTACTGATCATGTTTTAGCTAAGGCTTAATGTGTTAGAAGACATTTTCAGCTTATCATAGTGCATCTGTGCATATTATATGCTGAGCTGCTGCTAATGTTTGTTTTCATTACTGATTAATTGTTTGTTTTGTGAAACACCCAGAATGATTATGTCAATAAGTCTGTTTTCGTTTGAGCAACACCCCAAAGCCCAGAGACAATCTGGTTACTAAAATGTGAGACATTTACAAGTTTATATTTCAATTATAAAATAACCAGCACAATATGCAGCTTTTTAAAAATGTTTGTGTTATGCATGTATTTAATTTATTATAATTATATGTTTTTGGGGCACTTGAATCCCTTACTTGAGTGTGGGTAATGATGGAGACAGACAGAGGAGAGACGACAGGAAACAAGGCATACGTTTATTATTTTAAATAGGGATTCAAATAAGGACTATTTCTATATTATTTAGGAAATTATTTCCATGATGAATTGATTGTTTAGTTTAATGAATGTCAGAAAATATTGGACATCATTCAAATTTCTTATATTATTTCCCTCTCAGTCCAAAAATGTGATATTTTACTTTTTCATGAAAGAAGCAGACAGTCATCACCTCTGAGCAGCTGACAGCAATGAAAATCATTTATCAGAATAGATGCTGATATAGTTTCTACTGTTTGATTTGATAATTGATTAACTGCCTAATCGATGCAGCTCTAATTTAACTCTAATGCAGGTTGTAGCATGATAACCAGACAGCATCACATTTCACATCACACAGTCGCTGCCATGTCTTCCAGCTCTAATAATGACGCCGATCTGCTTAGTCACTGTCAGCAGCCCGTCTTCAGTCGGATTTTGGAGTCAGAAGTTTCTTTGTGAACTCACTGTTTTCGAGTGGTTTACTTACTGGAAGCAGCAGCTGTCACATGACAAATTAATCACCATGGGTTATCTGGCTGCTTGACTTGAATTGTCTCTGTAAAGTTTGATGCCCTTATTTCTTGGTAAATCAAATGAGAAACTTTAAAAGCATAGATCCAGATCAGGGTGAGAGACGAGTGTCCACTGGCCCCCCAGTGGTTTATCCTGAAACTCACAGGCAGCATTTTTAGAACAGCAAAGATTCTCAGTCGCAGTGAAACTACTTACTAATAGGGAGGGCGATGCTTTTTGGTTTTCAAATATCAAATAGCATTTAGGCTTGAAATGTCCATCCCTACTTACTTCATCAGAAACTACTCTGCTAACCTGTTTTCATGCTGTGTTTGTTTCCCAGATGGCCCTTATGGCATTTTTGCGGGCCGGGATGCTTCGAGAGGCCTGGCCACATTCTGCCTGGAGAAGGATGCCCTGAGGGACGAATATGACGACCTGTCAGACCTCACCGCTGTGCAGATGGAGAGCGTGAGGGAGTGGGAGATGCAGTTTAGGGGTAGGCCAGTTTTAATCACACCCAAAAAGAAATGTTTCCACCAGAGAAAATGTTTCTGAGATATTGATTTGACTCCGATTTCACAGATGCAGCCTTCGTGTTTATCACCTTTCCCTCTCTGCATATTTAGTCAGGTCAGATTGAGCATCTGAAACACAAGCACTTTAGTTTTTAACTTCAAAACCTCTGCAAGAACATTCACTTCTGTGTTGTGAACTTTGTTATTAGGTCAATTTAAAGTGACTAGGCAGTGAATGAACTAGTATTTGTGCCCAGGCTGTTGAACAGAGTCGCACTCTTCCCTTCAGTTTTCACTGAAGTTGAATTTTTTCACTTCGCACTCAGAAACATGCCTCTTTTGTAAATCTAGTTTGTGTTCCTAATGTTTGTAGGGGTTGTATTTATTTTTGTTATATCTAAACTGACAAGGGCACAGTGGCCACGGTAACAGCCGCGCTTGACCCATCGAGACGTGAACCCCACAGACCTCTGAAGGTGTCCTATGATGTCTGACACCAAGATGTTAGGGCAGCAGATCCTTTAAGGTCTGTAGGTTATGAGGTAGAGCCCCCAGGGGTCGGACTTGTTTGTCCAGCACATCCCACAGGTGTCGATCAGAATGAAATCTAGGGAACAGCTGGTTGCAGCTCTGATGGTGTTTGTAGCGGTACTCCTTAGCCTTTAGTGCCGCTTTACGGTGCAGGTCTTATGCAGTAAGTATGACACGACATAAACAAGTTCCACAGTCCAGTTCTTGGTTTTTACAAAGGGTTTACTAAATAAAAATAAACATACAAATAAAACGTTTCCTGGTTGACAAATTACTTGCTTATAACTCGGTCAGAAAAACTGTGTGCTCAGAACCTGACTGTCCGAACCTTCCAAAAACAAAAAACACATCCGGTCACATGGTTAACAAACAACAATATGCCATAACATAACATGTCTAGAGCACATTGTATAAAACAAACTTATTATTCCAAAACATAAAGCTATGTTGGCTATGTTTTCTTAATAACTACGTAAACTAAACATTTTTCAGATTGGCTCTTACAGTGTTAATGCTGTAGCATTTCATATTGATTTCCATCTCTAACACAATGTTTTATTTTGTTCTCTCAGAAAAATACGACTACGTTGGGAGGTTGCTGAAGCCCGGAGACGAGCCTTCGGAGTACACGGACGAGGAAGACATCAAAGACCACCTGAAACACGACTGAACGGTTCCATCTCATTGACCAAAGCCAGGAGCCCCAAACAGCTGCGACAGACCACCCCAGGCCCCCCAGCCCTCCTCCTTCCGCCCTGTTGATATACCTGCCCCTTCCTTCTCCTGCTCCACTCCCCAAACACTTCACCTCCTGAATCTGTCCAGTGTCGTGGCTTTTCTGGAAGGGCAGGTCTCCAGACCCCCCTTGTTCTTCATCCTGTGAAGATTAGCACCAACAGAAAGTGATCGGAAACCTCTGACGAGGGGCTTTTTGCCGTTAGATGCCATTAGGGGTTGTGCCATTAGATGTATTTGAACCAAAACCACAAAATATTTCAGTCATTTTTCTGAGGGTGCACGTGTGGTCCTTGTGGTCACTACTGAGCACTGGGTGGAGGTTGGTTTGAGGTGGTCAGAGAAACACTGGTCAGAGCTGATCAGTGGATCGGGTTTGGGGAAATGGATTTCTCTCTCTTTTTTTATCTTTGGTTTAGTCACAATGCAACTGAACCCGCTTCAGCTTCAGACAGCTTATCAATCAATCATCTCTTGTTCAAATCATCCCCCCGACTTGTTGAGAGGGCAGTGCTGTGGCCTAACCAAAGGGGCGTCACATTTTCCTGTTGTGTTTGTAGTGTATGCACTACTGCTTTTCTTTGTTTGTCACCATGTGATTGTATTTGTTGAGTATCGTTTGGGGGGGTCCTTGCAAGGGTCCTTGCCATATAAAACCGGTTTTCAATCGCATCACACAGACTGACTCACTGAATACAAAGGGAATGCGATAAGGCAGTCCTATTAATCGACTAAATTGTTTACATGCCTCACACGCCAGCTGCAAGTCTGTAGATTCCCCCGAAAATGGTCCAAGTATTAATTGTGCCTTATTTTGTTTCTTGTGTCAGTCCTGGTCGGCCTAACGGGGGGTGAGCAGAGGAATGCAGGTGTTGGTTTTTCTTAGATTTGGTTTGCCAGACATTAAGGAAGGCATACGTTCTGTCAATCGTCCATGCACAGACTGTAATATTTCCCCACTTCACAAACTTGTACATAGACCATATGAATTACTCAGTGTTACTGCCATATTTATGTAGTTGATGAAGTCCATATACGTATAATGCTATGTCACACTGGCCAAAACCCCTATAGTTTGTGTTTTTTCAGTTTTTTTTTTGTTTTGTTTTGTTTCCCCCGTTCTGAAATTAATTTTAAACGTGGCTGAACTTGACATAAAAAAATTGCAAAGTGCTGCAGGATGGGACTGGGAGCTGATCTTGCAGATTTTTTTCAGAGCCGTCGCTTATCCTGTAAATATACCTATCATTTTATTAAAGCATGTGCAACAACAAAGTGAGCTATGCCGAGTTCCCACCAGGTCATGTATTTAAATGTTGGGTGTGTGTGTGCGTGTCTGTGTGACAGAGACGAGAAGGGATTTGTTCATGCGTAATAAATCAATTTGGTTAATAACTGAAGATGTCTGTAATTTATTGGCTTTTGGAGCAATATTTGAACATTACCGGGACAATGCTTTACAGCTGATTTTAAAGTAAATATAAAAGTCAGATGACATTTCAACAGTTGGGAATGTTTTAACAGAAAGATGTAGATCAGATTGTAACAGGTTTTGATAGTAACGATCAATAAACTGAAGAACAAAACAGACATCTGAGTGGACAGTTAACACCGGGGGTTGAAGAGCACAAAAACTGAAATGGGAAAAGTTGAAGCCAAAACTGGTTTAACTGAATATTTACCTTGTTGTGCATATAGAGTATGAATGTACAGAGATACTGTGGAAGTAATGTATACGGGAGTTTATTTTGACTAATACAAAACATATGATTTGCAAATGAACAGAATACATAATGACATCTATAAAGAAATTAATGAATATAAAATGCTTTGATAGAAACTAATATATAGGGACTTATACTAAAAAGAAATCATTTAATGTGTAAATATATGAAGGGGAAAAAATTTAAATGAACATAATATAAACCTGAATGTCAAACCTACAAACACTCATCCTGAAGAAAAAGATACGAGAACAAGGAAAGAAAAGAAAGGAACAAATAGGGAAACAATGAAAACCTCTTGTACATGTTTGTCCCTTGTCGACCACCGTATTTACAACCCTTCCACGCGCCGCATGGGGATGCGCCATCGCCATATTTTACTGTTTTTTCATATTTTAAGGTTTTTGCATGATTTAAAGACACATTGGCGTTAATGAAAGGTTAGTTTGACGCACGTATAATTTAATTAATCACTGAATTACAGATAAACATAACAGCTACACTGTTGTTCACCAACATGGAGACTTTATTCGAGTGTCGTTAAACATCGACGGAAGCTCAACAGCGCCACCGGAGGTGGTGGGTCCGCATGACACGCTGAAGGTGTGTGTGTCCGTGTGTGTTGCTGCTTATCGATCGTCAGCTCCGTAAAAAGCCAGCGGGGTCCAAAAGATCACGGAAAGATTCAGAGCAGGGAGGTTTTTTCAAGCCACTATTGATCCGTGGACCGTTTCATCACCTCCTGTACACAGCGCCGACATGTTGGCTCTGTTGACTCGAGCCAAAACTCCCTGAATTTACACATTAATATTAGTAATAATAATAATAAGTCTTTGCCCGGATCGGATCATTGTTTTGGCCGCTTTCCGAGGAGCAGCATCTGGTGAGTAATGGTCCAAAAGCAAAGTTACAGGGATTCGTCCCGTTATAAAGGCTGATTGTGTCCTGATCGTGTCCTGATCGTGTCCCCGTCAGGAGCTGATGGCAGAGCATCTGTCCCAGAGTGAGCTGGTCTATCCCTTCAAACTTCTGGACTATCTCAACGGATTCAGAGTCTCAAAGGTAACGTTTAAGAATATTTAGTAGACACACGTGTCCTGGTTGCTGCCAGCCTGTTTTGGTACTGCTTTCTGATAAGGCTCCGTTTATAAAGGTTATATTAGCTGTATTTAATAGATTCATTAATTATAAATAAATCAAAAACTTTAGAGATCAGTGATAATCAACGACCTCTGTGTTGCCAGGATGTGGAAAATGTATAGAAATGATTTTCATTCATTCATTTATTATCAGTCAACTAATCAATAGCTGCCACATTTCTCACCACAGGTGTCTCCTTGACTACTTTAGCCTTAACCAACCTCCAGTGATGCTGGCAGCCACGTGAGGCTGAAGTCCTGTAGCTTTAGTGTTTAGTGCCAGTTTGAAGCTTTGAGCTTGTCGATGCTCATAATGAAAATGCTAGCATGCTAATGTTTAGCAGATACAGTGGTTACCATGCTCACCATCTTAATTCAACGTGTTCGGGTGAGTTGAGGCTGATGGGAATGTCATCAGTTTTGCAGGTAATTAAAATTAAAATTCTGATCTGATGGTGGCACTATAGGATCTTCATCGTTACTGCAGTTCATCCTGAGGGAAACATACAGTACTCTATGTGCTTCCATCCAGGTAATTGTGAGTTGGGAGTGTTTGACCCCCTGCTGAAGTCCCAGGAGCCTCTGAGTGCCCAGCATGTGGCCCGGGAGCTGAGCACCAGTGTGGACGGGATGGAGAGGCTGCTGGACGCCCTGGTGGGCATGGAGATCTTGGAGGTGGAGACTACAGATGAGGCAGGTGAGGATGAGGAGGAGGAGATGCCCTAGCAGAATGAACTACTACATTTATCAGCATACACTGCATATGGCCAAAAGTATGTAGACAAACCATTACACCCATACATGACCGTTTAACATCTCATTCCAAAACTGCGGGCATTCATCTGCTCCTCTGGGAAGATTTTCCACAAGACTTTGGAACCAGGAGTTTGCATGTTCTCCCCGTGCTTGCGTGGGTTCTCTCCGGGTACTCCGGCTTCCTCCCACAGTCCAAAGACATGCAGCTTAG